GGCTCCTGAAAGCATGGAATGGTCTGGGTTTCTGGAAGGCTGCAGCAAATGAGGTGGTGGAGTCACCATCCCTGGAAGTGTTCCGAAAACAGGGATGTGGCGCTTGAGAATGTGGTAAACACACTGTGCTGGGGCAATGGTTGGACTTGGTGAGCTCAGAGCTCAATCTTGGTGATTCTGTGATCAGTGCAATGGCAAATCCTGCCCAAAAAGCAGCATTTTTATCCTCTCTAATGCTGATTGTCATGGTCACACCCCCCCACCAGCTCTGCCTGTGTCCATCCCTTCCCACAACTGCTCTGCCAACAGGGAGTTTAGACAAAGAGAGCCTGGATCCTCCTGCTCACATGTCCAAGGCTTCCTTTGCCTTAGAACAGCCAGAGCTGAGCTTTTATCTGTCACCTTCCTGTCCAAGGTCACCTTTTGCTGCTCAGGTCACCCTGAGGTTCCCTCCTGAGCTTCCACAGCCCCGTTGATCCCATCTGTCGGTGTCAGTGATCCATTAACCCCAGCCTGGCAGTGCTGGGAAGCAGCAGGAATGTGCAGGGGGCACCAGGGACTCAGTGCCACTGACTGATGGCCTGGTGCCAGTCAGGGGGCAGGAGGGGCACAGAAATGAGAAGTGCCCCATCTGCCTTTATCACCCCAGTCCTCTGTGCTCCGTCGTTAAAGGACGGGCAGCAAGCCCTGGCAAGGAGGGAAAACCCTTCCTTTGCTCTGAGGTCGAGTGTTTCTGCTGTGAGCAGTTTGGGATGGTTCCCTGGGTTTGAATCTCACAGCCGCCCCAGGTTCCCTCCCCAGGGCTCAAGGACTGAGCTGGAATTGTAACCAAGCATCCATTTATGGGACAGTTGCCACTGGCTGCCGTCATGGGCAGGGGTGGAAGCTCTGAAATGTCAACTTGTCCCTTGGAAAGGCTTGAAAGACAGGGAATGTGGGACCACAGATGCTTCCTGAGTCAGCTGTGGTGGGAGAGCAGCCACAGCCAGGAGCTGCCCACCGAGGCCCTGTCCACTCTGGTGCCTTGTCTCTTCCTCCTCCCCAGATTTTGTGTCTTAGAAAATGCTTAAAATGCACATAAATTACTCTTTTGGCAAAGTCTGACTAACCTGAGCCAAGGGAGTAAGGCACAACAGGAAAGGATGGGATAACAGCCTTACCCAAACTTTGCTACTTTATACAGAACCAAATGCTAATAATTTTGGATCCCAAAAATCTCATTTTTTGATATGAACAACGTCTACTGAAAAATGAGAAGCCATAAGAGGGGATCAGCTCCTGATTCTGACATCCCTCACCAGCAATCTTTATATTTTCCTTTCTTTTAGCACCCCCTTGTCTGACATTTTCATCCAGATGGGTTTCACCTAAATCAGGCCTTTTGGCTCAGCACAGTCCCTGCCTCACCTGATTTCCTTAGGGAGCCTTTTGGCCTGTAAGAGGTGCTTTCCAAGGTTTTCCTCCCTGATCAAGGTTCCTGCTCTCTCCTGCCAACTGCTGGTTTATTTTATGGACTCCCATGGAAATGGGTTGGAGTGCTCAGGAGCCACCACAGCCCCGTGTGCAGTGTGTGTGTGATCAGGGGGGTCACTGCAATGGGAGCTGGAAACTTAATTTAGGCTGGAAATTTTGGCTGATTAAGCCCCCCAGAGTTCTGCAGAGTTTTGTCCTGGTGGATCTGATTCCCATTCCTTCTGTGGCACTGATCCCACTGAGCTGTAGGAAAGTCAGAAGACACATTTCACTGCCCTCTGTGCACTTCCCACCATCAGCAGCCAATTCCAAACGTAGAATCCCAGAGTCATTAAAGGTGGAAAAGCCCTCCCAGCCCATGGATCCCCCTGTGCCCGATGCCCACCTTGTCCCCCAGCCCAGAGCACTGAGTGCCATGGCCAGGCCTTCCTGGGACACCTCCAGGGCTGGGCACTCCAAACCTCCCTGGGCAGCCCCTGCCAAGGCCTCACCCACCTTCGAGGGAAATCCCTCTCTGTCCCACCCTGAGCCGCCACGGCACAGCGGGAGGCCGTTCCTCCTTTCTACTGTCCTTGTCCCTGGAGCAGAGCCGACCCACACTTGGATCCCCCTCTGTCAGGGTTGCAGAGCCCGACGGTCCCCCCTGAGCCTCCTTTGCTCCAGGCTGAGCCCCCCCAGCTCCCTCAGCCCCTCCTGCTGCTCCAGCCCCTTCCCAGCTCCCTTCCCTTCCCTGCACACGCTCCAGACCCCCGTGTCTCTCTTGTCTGAGATCCCAGAAGTGCCCCCAGGGCTGGAGGTGCCCCAGCAGTGCCAGCACAGGGACAGTCCCTGCCCTGGGCCTGTGCCCACACTATTTTTGATAGAAACATTTTCCTGCCCCTTTTCCCTCTCTTTTAGTTGCAATTCCTCCTCCTCTACTAACACAGCAATTTATTCCCTGAGTTCAGCACAGTGATGTGGGAGCTGATAGATTTTCATGTTAAATGTTCTTACAGGTCCCACGTAGCAGATTAAGATCTGTTGAGTCTCTCTGCAGGTAACTCATTTCAAATCACTGGCAAAAATTGGCTTTAAAGGTGTTTTCTTACTGATTTGGATGGTTTTAAATTGAGTTCTCAGATAAGAAGTGATCATCCCACTGGATACAGGTTGGAGAGGAGTCCCAGCATCTCCTTTACCACGGTCAAAGCTTCAGAGAGTCAGTGACCTTTTGAGTTTGACCAAAAAAACCTGTATTTACAGTCTATTTCTATTTTGATCCAAAGGGATAACAAATGGCCTCAAATAATATTTCCAAATACTGGAATGGATTACAAACCCCGTGGAGTTGGGAATATGCAACGTTCCTCTGTGTCATTGAGGATTTGGAGAGGTTAAAATAAATATTATCACTTCTTATTAGACAGCTTTTGCTTCCTCAGATTAACACCAGAGATAAGGCAGGTGTATATTTATTACAAATTGACAGGACATTTATTTCTGTTCCCAGTGGCAGAAATCCATTAGAAGCAAACAAATTCCTTGCCCTTATCAGGGTGCTTTGTGTTGTCTGTGTTTGGAGATAAAGCTGCCCCATTTGTCACGGGGAGATGGTGCTGCCTCTGGAGCTCCAGTGCCCACAGGGCTGGGAATGCACCAGGAACACCTCTGGCCTGAGGGGTTGGGGATCAAGGTTTCTTTTAGGCTTTTCTTTCACGTGTTTGTAAAACAGACTCATGGAATTGTTAAGGTTGGAAAAGACCTTTAAGTCCAGCTCTCCACCAGCACCACCACGTTCACCACTAAACCACATCCCCCAGCGCCACATCCCCACGGTTTTTGGGCACTTCCCGGGATGGGGACTGCACCACTGCGCTCACCAGGTTGCTTTACAACCTTCTCCATGATTATTTTTTCCTCCTGTCCCACCTGAGCCTCCCCTGGCACAGCTGGAGGCCGTTCCCTCTCCTCCTGTCCCTTGTTCCCTGGCAGCAGAGCCCGACCCCCCCCCGGCTCCCCCCTCCTGTCAGGGGGTTGCAGAGCCAGAAGGTCCCCCCTGAGCCTCCTTTGCTCCAGGCTGAGCCCCCCCAGCTCCCTCAGCCCCTCCTGCTGCTCCAGACTCCTTCCCAGCTCGAGTTTTGTGGGAGTTGGAGCTCTCAGAACTGCTCTCCCAGCGGGGTCAGAGGGTCCTGCTCAGTGAGTCCCACGGGGACTGTGCTGCTCATTAGGGACACTCTGGCTCAGTCACTGCTGCTGCAGCCCCTTGAAGCTGCTCTGGTTCTATCTGGGGATAACCCATTAGACTCCCAGCACTCAGAGCTTTCCCAGAGCCCTGCAGTCAATTTGCTGCCCTTATTTCACCCAGTGCATGTGATATTCCTGTCAAATCCACTGAGAGATACTTCCCCCTGTTAAATTACTTCCCTCAGCCTGCCTGGGGCTCACATGTGACACAAGGACTAGAGAAGAGCTTCCAAGACACAATATTTATTCCCAGGCAGGGCAGTGGCCATGAGAGAGGAGGACAAAGGAGTGACCCCTGCAGGGGGCAGAGATCCAGGGCACAGGGAGGACTTTCCTCCTGGATCCATGAGACCTGTAGGTCTGTTCCAAGGGCTCCCAAACGGGAATGATTGGCACAGCAGTTGTGTGTTTGTTCCTGCTCAGCTCCTGGTGCCATCCCAGGGCATTGCTCACCATGGAGTTTGTATCAGTCAGACCTGGGGGTTGTGCTGGGAGAGGAGCTGAACTCTGAAACAATTCCTCACCCAGTGCTCAGAAGGGGAAAAGCCCAAAATAAAATAAACTGGTGAACAAGCTCAGAGGGTCCAGCAGAGCCATGGAATCACAGAACACCTTGGGTGGAAGGGACCTCAAAGCCCATCCAGTGCCACCCCCTCCACAGGCAGGGACACCTTCCTCTGTCCCAGGTTGCTCCAATCTGGCCTTGGACACTTCCAGGCATCCAGGGGCAGCCACAGCTTCTCTGGGAATTCTATTCCAGGCCTCCCCACCCTCCCAGCCAGGAACTGAGACATCCTTTGATATCTCTGGTCCTCCCCCTGCCTTGGACTGGAGAAAGGGTTAAATACCCTTTTGTTTCTTTGCCTCTTTACATTCCCAGATAACTTGTTGATTCTGGCTGACAGGGCTGAGTTATTTCCAGCCCTTAATAAATGAGCTAATTTGGGAGTTATTAACAGTTAACAAATTTCATTCTGTACTTGCAAAACCCTCCGAAGCCCTTCAGGAAATAAATTCCTCACAGAGTCTGAACTGTAGAGGTGCTGAAAGAGATAATTACACACTGAGCTAATTATTGGCTTTGGCCTGTGTTTGAAGAATTACGTCCAGACCATGATATGGAGAGAGTGGTGATGCTCAAGGGCTCCCAGCAGGAAATCTCCTGAGTGTCCTGTGGTCCCTCCTGGTCAGGAATATGGTTTGGAGGGGCTGTAATGGGATAATGCCACGATCCAGCTGTTTGGATCATGGACATGGGCACTGGCTGCTTTTACTTAGTTGGTTTCCATGTCTTTCCTTCTCAGAGTGGCTCATTGTCAGCTGCCACCACTTCCCAGATTCCCAAACCACTCTGAGTTATTTGGGATGCAACTACAGAAGCCCTGAGAGTCTGAGAGATCTCCAAGGTACGGACAAAAATGAGACATTTGTGTTCTCACGGCCCAGCTGAGCTCCCTCAGGACACTGCAGTGCCCCCTCAGGGAGCTCCCCTGCTCCCAGCTCCCTGTGCTCCTGGAATTCCAGGGCACTCTCATCCCTCTTCATGCAGCCCCACTGTCAGTCTGCCTTCCCTTCCCTTCCCAAACCTTCCCTTCCCAAACCTTCCCTTCCCTTCCCTTCCCAAACCTTCCCTTCCCAAACCTTCCCTTCCCAAACCTTCCCAAACCTTCCCTTTCCAAACCATCCCAAACCTTCCCTTCCTTTCTGTTCCCAAACCTTCCCTTCCCAAACCTTCCCAAATCCTTCTTCCCTTCTCCCTGACTCCTGGACCCGCTCTCACGGTCCCTGTTTGATCTTTACTCACTCATGGACTTACCCAGTTTCTTCTGGTCTCTGATGCACTTTGTGGGATTATTCTTCAGTTTCTCCTTTCTTTGGGATTCCCTGGTTTCCTTAATCACATTTATCCTGGTGCTTCCATGCAGCTTTCCTGGTGGTCTCTATCCCCATTCTTTATTCCCTCACTTGCACATGCACATTTCCCTCAAAACTCTCTTTTAGGCTCCTGGTTGTTCATGAACCTGCAGCCCTTGGCTCTAAAGGATTTCCAGGCCAGGTTGGACAGGGCTTGGAGCAACCTGGGCTGGTGGGAAGTGTCCCTGCCCATGGCAGGGGGTGGCACTGGATGGGCTTTGAGGTCCCTTCCAACCCAAACCATTGGGTTTTTATCTGGGGGGGCAGGAGGGATGTGGGGCTGGGGCTCCATGAGGTCCATGATTTTCCAGGGAATTGAGCTTTTCCATTTGCATTGAATTCCACAGTCTTGGGCCCCTGAAGACTTGGAAAAAGACCTGAAGTTTCTGACTGGCATTGAACCAGACAGATGGGAGATGATGCTGTGTAAGAGGAGGCCTTGCTCCACTTGACCTGCAAGAGGTAGGAAAGGCTCATATACAAGAAACTTCCTCAGAAAACAGCCTGAAAGGGGTTTACTTGGAATAACTGGGATCCACAAGTCAATTTTAAACCTCAGGGGATGTACAGAATATGAAAAAACAAGGCATCACAGTGTCTTTCATTTCTAAGGGTATAATAAAAGCTTTGTGGCCTTTGTGCTCAACAGGAGGAGGCTTTAAGGACATTGAATTTGTCAGGGCACCAAAGGAGGTCAGCAAAGCTCATCTCCCACCCTGTGCCACAGGACAGAGCCCTCGTGGTGGTTAAAGTATATATGGATGTGTTTCTCCCAAAAATATAAGGATCCAGTGGTGGTTGGTAAAACCTTAATCACAGTTTATGACAGACAACAGAATTCTCCTCCTTCACCCTCAAATTACTCCTGTCAGATTCTCCATCCCAGAGACAGGAATGAACAGGGATGGAATTCAGCTCCTACAAAGCAGCCCTGCAGGCCATGGATTGTCTGAGCCCTTAATGAGTTATTTAATAACAGAGAGATGGTTTGGTTGGCAGGAGATGGTTCTGCCACTGATAAAGGGAGAGAAAAGTAAAATATTTCCCGTTTTCCACTGCAGCTTCGCAGCAGTTTTTTCCATGGGTTTCTTTCCCCTGGAAATGTCCTCTAAAAGTGTGAGCAGTTGTTAAAATGACAAGTCACAAGAATGAATCGCTTGTGAAGAAACCTGAGCCTAAAGGGAGCACGGGAGACGTGGAGAGAAAAAGGAGAAATAAATTGCCCTTTTCATTGCTTTCCTTGACACCTTTTTCCACATCCCTCCCTAATTGTAGCCTGTGAGATGCCATTATCCTGCTCCAACAGCTCCATGGAGGAGCTCTTCAAGGAAGTCCTCCCCTCTCCAGGAGCATCATTAGGCTCACAGGATGAGCATTTACCCTCTGGGTTCATATTTAACTGTGAATATTTGAGATATTGGGACCAACAGCTTCACACAGGCCCTGGTGTTCCAGCAGAAACTCAGGAATGGCCTCGCCAGTGTCTCCAGCTGGTGATTTTATTGAAATGGATATGAAGGGTTTGCTGATTGTCCTTCCTTTAGAGGAAAGGTGGCGAGAAGACACAAAATCTCTCCCTGGAGAGATACAGACAGTGATTCAGAGGCTCCAAAATACACATCCCCCCCATTTCTAAGTCTAATCCTTCTCTATGGGCTGGAAATAAAACCAAGCAGCTCAGCTGTGGGTGAAGCCATTGGACAGGTGAGCCCTAAAAAGGCTTTGGGGACCTCAACCTGCTCAGGGTTTTTGGCTTTGGTGTCCAGTATTTAGGGGAAAGCAGCAGCTCTCACAGCCCAGTGCTGTTCAGTGTGAAAAAATCTCTCTCACCAATGTACAGACTTGAAAAAGTCACCCCAAAGCTAGGCAGCAACCCCAGATGTTTAATAAATGTCTGGTATTCTGTGCAGCACAACCAAGTGCTGCAGAATTCCTCCCCGGGGGGGATCCGAGTGCCAACAGGACATTTCAGTTTGGTCTTCAAAGGACTGTTGGCCCAGGGTGTCCCCTGTGGGCCTGGGAAGGGGAGGGGGATATTGGGGCACTAATTACAGCCCGGCTGGGCTCATGAGATGGGAAGGAATTCCTGGCTGGGAGGGTGGAGAGGGACTGGAATGGATATCCCAGAGAAGCTGTGGCTGCCCCTGGATCCCTGGAAGTGTCCAAGGCCAGGCTGGAGCAACCTGGGCTGGTGGAAGGTGTCCCTGCCCATGGCAGGGGTGGCACTGGATGGGCTTTGAGGTCCTTTCCAACCCAAACCATTCCAGGATTACTTTGGCCCCAGCTCTGGTTCCCTCTGGCAAAGATTTGCAGCTGGTTCTTTGAATGAATCAAAAAATGCAAAGCAAAACTCCCCTTTGTCTTCCAAGCATTCCCTTTGTGCATTCTGACACGGTGTAACCCAGCAGGTCTCCCCTGTGTCTCCTGTGGAAAACTCCAGATCCCGTGTTCCAGCTGCACTCCCTGCAGGAGCAGGATCTGCTGAGCCCACGGTGCCCTGGGAGGTTGATTTACATTAACAACGCTCCCAGCAAGCACAGCCTGACCTTTACTTTGTAACCAGGATAACTTCCAGTGATTTGACATCTTGATTTTGGCTTCCCATAGTTTTGTTGGATACCCCCTCCCCCAGGAGCCCGTGGGTTGTGCCAGAGACCCCCCTGTGTGAGCAGGACCCAAATTCCCTGTTACAGGGGCAGGGTCTCTTTGTGCTGCTGGTGATCAGTGTTGGCTCAAACATGGCTGGTGCTGGATGGTGGGAGAGTTGGAAATGATGGATGAGTGGGCTGGAGATCACACATCCCATAAAACAGCCAACTCAAAGGAGCAGCTGTGCTGAGGTGACCTCGGGGTGGCAGTGATTTCACAGAGTGTGTGAAGCAGCTTTTCCTGCTTCGTGACCTTCATTTGCTGACATTTTGTTTTACCAGAAGGTGCCTGGTTTGGTACCAAGGCACAGGATGAAAAGGAGACAGGTCTGTGCTGGGGAAGGGGTAATGAGTCCACTAATTATCCTGATCCTGAGCCTCCACGAGGAGGTCACTCCCTGCCTGTCCATGGTTTCTCCTCGGCTTTGCTACAACATGTTCACTAATGACACTGAGACTGGGGGACTCGCAAGGCCTCACCCCCATTAGCTGAGACTGCCCGTGCTCCTGTTTGCCTGGGAATCCTCTTCCCTTTAGAGGGAATTCTTCTTGCTGGGAGCCAGCAAAGGTGCCCAGCTGGGCACTCTCAGTGGAGAAGGGCACTGCAGAGTGGCTCTGCCTTTGTTTAGTGAAGTCCTCAGGGGTTACTGAGCCCAGGGTCCTCCCTCATCACCAGACAGGAATGGGGATTTTAGGGAGGCCGGGCTGTTCCTGGAGGGAAAGTCTTATTTGGGTCTCCTGAATGCTGTGACTGTGGCTGTGGCTACACTGGTTACACCAGTGTGGGGGATCCCACTGTTATCCATGCAATGGGATGGAGGGATGGATGGATACATCCCAGGTTTTGGGAACGTGCTGACATAACCATGTGGAGCTGCTGGAGTGAGCCCAGAGGAGGCCACGGAGCTGCTCCCAGGGCTGGAGCCCCTCTGCTCTGGAGCCAGGCTGGGAGAGCTGGGGGGTTCCCCTGGAGAAGAGAAGGCTCCAGGGAGAGCTGAGAGCCCCTTGCAGGGCCTAAAGGGGCTCCAGGAGAGCTGGAGAGGGACTGGGGACAAGGCATGGAGGGACAGGACACAGGGAATGGCTTCCCACTGCCAGAGGGCAGGGACAGATGGGATATGGGGAAGGAATTGCTGGCTGGGAGGGTGGGGAGGCCCTGGCTCAGGTTGCCCAGAGAAGCTGTGGCTGCCCCTGGATCCCTGGAAGTGTCCAAGGCCAGGCTGGAGCAACCTGGGCTAGTGGAAGGTGTCCCTGCCCATGGCAGGGGGTGGCACTGGATGGCTTTTAAGGTCCCTTCCACCCAAACCATTCCATGGTCCCGTGATCCAGCAGCACCAGCAGGAGCAGCAGTGACCTGGCTGAGGACTCCATGTCCCTGTGCATTTGTTCCTGTGAATTCCAGCAGGAGGGACACAAGGTCTGATGGCTATTCCTGGACCTGCTGCACCATCCCATGGGGACACAGCCTCTGTTTTGGGTGAGAACGTGGCACAGGAGAGCAGCCCTGGGGCAGCACAGGGACAGGGGAGACGTCCCCAGGACCAGGGACTTTGGTGTCATCTGAGACTGCAAAATAACTCCTGCTGAGCTGTTATTTAAGGGGAGGGATCAGGAGATGGAATTGAGGAGCGTGGTGTGTTTTAGGGAAGGGCAGTTAGAGGAGAAACAGAAGAACTTCTGAGACAACCCCCAGGGTACCAGGGAGACAAAGTGGATGCTTGGAGAAGTCAGTGCAGTGAGCTGAGAAAAGTGGAGCTGTCCCTTCTGGATTTACATCTCTGGTCATTTGAACTCGGCAGAGCTTTTGCTGGAGCACTTAATCATGGTAATGCTACATGAGTTATTATCTATTATTAAACCTCCTCCAGCTTCTGGGCAGCAGGAGGGGGGAAAGCTTGGAAAAGTCACAAATGGATCCCGGGGAAGCGCTGCTGGACAAGCACCAGGAAAACCAGCTGGGCTGTGGGGAAAGCTGCATCCCACCCCTGGAATAAACACCTTGCAATATTTACAAATGGGAGAGAGCCTCTAAAACATATGTCTGCACTAAATGTGCCCCATTAGAAATGCAAGAATTCCCATTAGCCCCAGAAAAGCAATTCCATTCCAGCGCCAGGTCGTTACTGCAAAGCACTCTGTTGTAATGGCATTAATTGTATTGTTTGAGGACCCTGAAACCTCATTTCATTCAGCTTAGAGGAGCACAAAGAGAATTGAGGTCCCTAAACGGGGCTGGGTCTGTTTTCCAAAGTGCCCTTTGGAGAACAATTCCTGTTCCAGGGCAGATGACACAGCCAGAGGAGATTTCCCTTCGGTGGGGGGTGGAAGGGGGCACAGCCAGCCAGGGCTTGTGCTGGTGTTCATCTCTCTGCTGGGGTGACTCCTGGCTCTTGGAGTTTAGCAGAATCCAGGTAAATGTATCACTTCAATGAAATTCCTGCCCTGCTTTGCCCTTAAGTACCCTTTTTTGGATAGTTTTCTCCTGCCCATGGCAGGGGGTTGGACCAGATGACCTTTAGAAGGTCCCTTCCAACCCAAACCATCCTGTCATCCTGTGATTCCATGGGAAGTGCTATAAAGGGCCTGGAGCATCCTTCTGAGCCTGGAGGAGACACAGGGTCTTATCCCTGTGGATAAATCCCTGGAGGGAGGGAAGGATGAAGGTGGAGCACAGACACCCCAACAATGCCACCCTGTCCCTGAGCGCCTTGTCCAACACTTGACAGTGCCATCAGTGGCCATTCTTGTGCCAGGAGAATGAGAAAAACAATTTTCCATCTTAAAAACCTGTCTTGGCTTTTATGTGCAGCTAAAAAAAGAGATTTATGATTTGAAACCTCCCAAGAAAATCTCCCAGACACACCAAACATCCCCACAGCTAATTTTCTCTCTGTAACTTTTTAATTTTCTCCCTACCATATGTCTCCAATTGTGTGAGTTAATATTATTCATAAATGCAGCACAAATAGGAATAAGACCAATTACAGCAAAATACTCCCCATCTTTTTAATCTCTGAGGTTATGGAGAGGCTGTTCTCTTGCAGATTTAACATCTCCCCAGAAATCACACGGGCTGCAGCGTTTGACTCCTGCCCTGTGCTTCTTGTCAAGTTTGCAGGATTTTGCCAACAAATTAATGAGGGGAGAGTTCCAGGGAATGTTGATGAGCCACAGGGAATCTGCCTTTTGGCTTCAGAGCCTTTGCAACGGGCTCTGGGAGGGGCTGGGGTGTGGAAGGATCCGGCTCAGCATTCCCGGTCTCTCCCTGTCAGGCCCTTCCCCGCTGCTGTGTCGGGAATGTGGGAATTGCTCTGGGCTGGGGGTTCTCTTCCAGAGCCAAAATCACACTGGATTTCTGAGGCCTGTCCAGAAATGCTGGATGGTTCCATGGGGTACCTGTTACATCTCGTGTGGGGTCACCAGAGCACCACATCACTTGTGTGGCACCAGAGCATCCATCTCCTCTGGAATCCCCATTCCCACCCTGGCTGGGAGGAGAAGAGGCACAAACTGAGAGGGATATTCCCCCCCTCTGGCTTCCTGCCAAGCCCCTGCAGCAGAGCAGCTTCAGAGGCAAAAACTGGCTCCTGAATTTTTGAATACACAGTGGCCCTTTTGAATATTTCCCAATACGCATTCCCAGGAAAGGGTATCACCAATTTTCCATAAAGATTTCCTTTGTTTTGTTGTTCTTTTACTTTCCCACCCCACTTCTTGCTCGGAACCTGAAGGTTCCCATCCAAGCTTTGAGGCAGTTTGGTTTGAAATGGGAAATATCCATGTCTGCTCCGATAAACCGGAGTGAATTCCTCCTGGAGAGCCTGGGCTTGAAGAGGAACTTTCATCTCTCCTCCCTCTCCAGCTCTGGGTCTTTGCAGCTGGAGTTTTCATTTGAACTCCTGTTCCCTCCCAGCCATTTGGATCCTTTTTTTCCTCTGAGTGTGGCTGAAGTGACGGGGTTTAATCAGGGAATGTTCAGCCACCTCTGTGGAGACCTGTGGAACAGCCAGGACTGTTGTAGGGAGCTCAAACCTTCCCTGGATCCCACCCTCTGGGACAGTTTTGGTCAGTGATACCAGAGCAAAATGAGGCTGTGGACTAAAATGGATGCTCATACTTTAGGTTAGATTCCCACTGCTAATTCCTTGATTTCATAGGAAAAGAGAATCATGGAACAAATTGGGTTGGAAGGGACCTCAAAGCCCATCCCATCCCACCCCCTGCCATGGGCAGGGACACCTTCCACCAGCCCAGGTTGCTGCAAGCCCCGTCCAACCTGGCCTTGGACACTTGCAGGGATCCAGGGGCAGCCACAGCTCCTCTGGGATATCCATTCCAGTCCCTCCCCACCCTCATGGGGAAGGTAAAGTCTGATCCCATCCCCTCTCAGAAGGGTCTGACCTGACACTGTTCTGGTCCTGGTGTCTCCATCCCTGCATTCCCATCCCTGCATCCCTGCTCTCCTGGTGCTCCTCTCCAGGACACTGCTCCTCTCTGCTATTTATTTTCCTTCTCCTTTCAAAGTGTGTCCTTTCTGCTCCCTCTTTTCTCATCTGGGCTGGATTAGAAATGCTCTGTTTGCTGCTCAATTAAAGTGCCCTCTCAGACACGGCAAAGTTCAAACAGTTTTAGCTTTTGCCTAAAATATATCTGTCTGGATTTAATGGGCTTTGCAGGCTCCACTTTCAAAGTGGTTATTAATGGGATTTGGACAAGGAACTCTTGCTTTGTGCTATTAAAATAATACAAGAAATCCTTCCATTGGCATTTAATGTCATCGACTCAGGCATGTCAAGGGTGGCACACAAAGGCTTGGCCTGTCTGTGCTGGGGCTGCAGCACAGCTGGGAGATTGCACCCAGCCTGACAAATAACTGAAATCAGTGGCTTTTCCTGCCTTTAATGCTGTTACTGGTGTCATTATTCCCTGGAGGACGTGTCTGTGGCAAAGCTCCACTGAGGTCTGAGAGAGGATAAACTTGGCAGCTGGGGCTGAGCCTAAAGCAGGACCAGGGAGGGAGGTGGGACACAGACCCTCAGAGCACCTGCAAGGCAATTCCTGTGGCTCCACAGGACCTGGGCCACGGAAGAACACAGGGAATGGGGCAGGGATCCATGTCAGGATGTGATGGGAAACCTTAAGAAGCCTTTTCTAGATTCCCAACTTTGGAGTGCCCAGCCCTGGAGGTGTCCCAGGAAGGCCTGGCCGTGGCACTCAGTGCTCTGGGCTGGGGGACAAGGTGGGCATCGGGCACAGGGGGGATCCATGGGCTGGCAGGGCTTTTTCAGCCCCAGGGATCCTGGGATTCTGTGCCGTGCTGGTGAAGAGCCCAGATCCAGGGGCTCCTCCCAGGAGGGGATGACAGGCTGTGTGTCCCACTCACGAGTGTCCAGTGAGCCCAGTTCACCCAGTCTCTACATAGCAGGGGTGCATTTACAATGCAGAATCCCTTCTATTCATGAGGAGAACCCACTGCCATGGTCCTGAGTGAGGGGCAGCAGTTGTGCTCTGCTCACCTGCATCAGCTCCATCCCTCCTGCCTCTCACAGCTCATTAAAACCTGGGGCCTCCACAAGACAGCAAATTTAGGAACTGCACATTGTTCCGAGCCCAGCCCTAAGAGCACCTTCCTGAGAAATGACAGGCAGGAACAACCGTCCCTCGGGATGATTTATCCCCCGGATTAGGCTCAGCTTGTGAAAATACACCGAGTTTAAATCACTGCCAACCTTGAAACAACAGCAGAGGAGGTGCTGACCCTGGGAAGCAGCAAACAAACAACTGTGTTCCCAGTAGATTGAACTGCAAGCTGGCTTCAGAAATGAAATCTGGGGCTTTAATGCTGTCTGCCTGAAAATCAAATGGGAAAAGGGAGTGGTGGTGGCATCTCCAGTTACAAGTCAAACCAGCGGGACGAGAAACATAAACTGCCCAAAGACTTGAAGGGGAGTTGCACCAGGAACTGGTGATGAACTGCTCCTGCCTGGGAAGTGCAGGGAGCTGGGAGCTCAAGCAGTGCTGGGCTGGGCAGTGCCAGTTGGCAGCTGCACTCTGAGATCTTAGAGCTCTTTTCCAGCCTGAATGACTGTGATCCTGCTTCCCAGGGCTGCTCCAGGCGGAGCGTGGACTCTGGTTGCCATGGCAATGCCCTGACCCTCCCTCCCCAGGGCAGTGCCTAATTAGGGCAGTCCTGCTTTGGGTGCCTGGGTCATGCCCCATGTCCCTTCAGGGGTGCTGGGTCATCCCTGCAGTTCATTATCAGCATTTTTCAACTGTCCCTGATTTGTGGCCAGCCGTGGCCTGGACACGCAGCTCCTTGGCCTGAAGTTTTCTGGGTGTTTTGCCTTCTGTGGAAAAAAAAGAATCAACCCCCCAGCTCTCAACCTTCCTGCACTAATCCCCGTGTGCAGACCGTGGCAGTGCTGGGGGACCCTGGCATTCGAGGGGGGTGTGGCTTTAGGGGTGGGGAAGGGTCCGAGCTCCCCACAGGGATTTGGGTGGTGGCATTTTGGCAGGGGGTTGGAACTAGGTGGTTTTTAAGGTGCCTTCCAACCCCAATCCTTCCATGATATGATAGGAATCAATACTCATCCTGTTCCCCCCTCTGCCATGGGCAGGGACACCTTCCACTAGACCAAGGCTGCTCACAGTAACCTCATTTTTTCCCCCTCCCAAGCAATAAAAGCAGGAATGAGACATCCAGGAGGAGCTGAGGACGTGGAAGGGGTGGTGTAAATTCATGGCACGTTGTTTTGGGGGCCAGGATTTATTTCTGATCAGCTTATCCTTCTGTTGTTTTCCTCCAGCTGCTCCAGGAGGACAATCCAGTTCCACCAGGAACACCGAGGGACACAGGATGTCACAGCAGCAGCAGCAGGACCCACTCCAGCCCCACTGGATTTCGGCTTCCTGGTTGTCCTGGCTCTTGGAAAACCTTTCAGCCCCCCATGGCACACCTGGCTCCTGGGAAATGCTCTGGAAGGATGGATGGACTGCTGCAGTGGGGGTGGAATCACAGGCAGGAATAAAGGCAAAAGAAGGGAAATCTTTCTCTGGGAATCCCCATCCCTGGAAGTGTCCAAGGCCAGGCTGGAAGGGGCCTGGAGCAGCCTGGGCTAGTGGAAGGTGTCCCTGCCCATGGCAGGGGGTGGGATGAGATGATCTTTAAGGTCTCTTCCAACCCAAAGCAGTCTCTGATCCTTCAGGGAAAGGCTGGGAAAACAATCCATGATTGTATTTCCCCTCCCATTCCAGCTGCTGTCCCACCTCACCCCAGGCCTCGTGTTCTTATTTTAAAGAAGTAAAGCCCCACTGATCTGAACAAGGTCAAGTGTTCCTTTGCCATCTCCCAAGCCACAGTCCCACCTCTGCCTCTGCTCCTGAAACGGCTCCATTTGCATAAATTCGTCTGCAAACAATTAAAGTTAATTAAGATAATTTATCACTTGAAAGTAAAGCGTTTTATCAGCAGGTATCAGCCTGTAAAGCAAACAAAGAACCAGTTGTAGGGGAATAGCTGGGGCCTTATTACCCTGTTAGACATGAAGTGACAAAACCCCGCTCGTTATGACGCTTTGTCGGGTCCGGGTGCTTTGTTTGCAAAGTAATTAACTGCAATTAGCTAATCATCCTCTGTAGGAGCTGCAGGTGTGACTCTGCACTAGCACGGACTCATTTACACCTTGGCTGCCTTCCCACACACAAACTGGGAGACACAAGTTTTGGGAGCAGCCCGAAGTCCTTGTCTGTGGGCACAAATGGGATATTGGGAAGAGCTTTGAGGGACAGAATGGATCTGGTGGGTGTCCCCTGGGAAGCTCCTCTCCACTGCTTCCAGCGGGGTTTATTGCATCCTGATATCCAGTGTCTGCAGGGACTGTAAAAATAATGCACTTTGGGGAAAAAATACCCATTAGCATTGCTCAAAGCCCATCCAACCTGGCCTTGAGCAATTCCAGGGATGGGGCATCTCCCAGTTCCACTGGGATCAACTCCCCTCATCAGCAAACACAAAACTTGTTTCATCAAATTCTGACCCCAGCAATAACAGAGACCACATTTAACTTGGAATTTGTGGGATGAGTTAATCTGAGCACTCCCAGAGGCATTGACCCCTCAGGGGAAAAAAACAACTTCACGTGCCCCAAAACCACTCCAAGGCAACCAGGAATGGTCATTTTTAAAAAAATTCATTTAAAAAACTCCTGGCAGAGCCACAGGCTCTCCTAGCACGGGAGATCAGTGGCTTCTCAATAGGGCACTCTGGAATTCCAGCCCCTCCCGACCCACAGGAGGCCCCTGAGTGTGGATTATTGTCCTTGTACCCTTTGTTTCCCCACCTGCTGATCGGGATGGCCCCTTTTTACTGGTGATTTTCCCCTTGTTTTCCTTTCCCCAGGCCCTCCCTCTTGCTGGGAATTCTGGGCACTGACAAGGATTTTCACCCTGAAAAGGGAAGTGTGTTCCAAGAGTCCCCACAGAACAAACCCACCCATTATCTGTCGGACAGCAGGAAAATATTTGGAGCTCTGTGAGCAACCTGGACGTGCTGAACATCCCAGGGGGGGCCTGAGTGTCAGGAGGGTGCCGAGCACCCCCTGGGTGTCCTGCTGGGTGTCTCTGGGTGCTCAGCTGCAGCAGGGGCTCCGTAAATGAGCTCTGCCTGGTAATTAACCCCAGGTGTTTGCAGTTGTAATTAAGGAGCCCATATAAGGAGGGTGGGGGCGGGCTGGTGCTGTGCCCCGGAGGAGTGGGAGAGCTGCTGTGCCGGGGGTTTGGTCCTCTCTGCTGGCCCTGGTGAGTGCTCCGTGCTTTTGGTACCATTATTTGTTGGTTTATTTACCGTTTCTGACCGAGTTTTCTCCTGCTGCTTCCCTGGCGCTTCAGCTTTCCTCGTTATGTGCCAGGGAAAAAGGAATGCTTGCATTTACTGAGGGGGGAGGCCGAGCTGCCCCAGCACTCACCTCCTGCTGTTGTGGGTGTTGTGTTGGTGTTTTCAGTGGCAGGTTCGGTGCAATTTGGGTATTACAGCTCCTTTTCCCTGGAATTAAGGCAGGCACCTTGCAATGTTATCCTTGGTGCTTTCTTTGTTCCCTGGAGGATCTCAAAGCGCTGCTGAGCCGAGCCTGTGGCTCACCCAGCCTGGGACTGTGCTGGGTCCTTGGGATGAGTCTCCCTCCAACAACAGCTTCAGTGCAGTGAAAATGGGTTTGCTTTTAATAATTCGGGAGGCAAATGCAGCGCTGGGGGGACGGTGCCTCTCCCCAGGATGCCAAAAGTGATGCTGAGTGTTTGTCAGGAATTCCCTGTTGGGGTGGGTGGCTGGAGCTGGGTGTGCTCGCAGTGGGGCTGTGCCGAGGAGCACATGCTGACCCAGTGCTTGGGCTCTGGAGTCTGGAGTGAGTGGGAATTCTGGTTCCTGTGTTTCCAGTTCCAGGGAGCCTGTGTTTGCTGCAAACGAAGGTGCAGGGGTGAGGGGTGTTTTGGGGTGTGTTCTGACTGGAAGAAGGCAGCAGTTGTTCGGTTTATCTCCTTGGGAGCAGTTTGCTGCAGCAGATCCCCAGCCCCTCTCCGTGGTGGCAGCAGCACAAAGGAGCTTCCCTTCTCCAAAGGGAAGGACTGGGAAGTAAAATCCTGCTCTTGCAGGTCTGGGTTTGGGTGCTGGATTTTTGGGAGCCTTGCAGGGGCTGTGGAAGGGCTGAAAGCTCCACACCCCAATTAGAGCTAAGGAGCCCCAGCTGGGCTGGGTGGGGTGACCTGGTGTTATCCAGAGCAGAAACACCTGGGGCTGCAGCTGTCATGGATTCATGGAATGCTTTGGGATCGAAGGGGCCTCAAAGCCCACCCAGTGCCACCCCCTGCCATGGGCAGGGACACCTTCCACTAGCCCAGGTTGCTCCAACCTGGCCTTGGACACTTCCAGGGATCCAGGGGCAGCCACAGCTTCTCTGGGCAACCTGGGCCAGGGCCTCCCCACCCTCCCAGCCAGCAATTCCTTCCCAAGATCCCACCTATCCCTGCCCTCTGGCAGTGGGAAACCATTCCCTGTGTCTTGTCCCTCCATCCCTTGTCCCCAGTCCCTCTCCAGCTCTCTTGGAACCCCTGCCAGGGGCTCTCAGCTCTCCCTAGATCCTTCTCTTCTCCAGGTGAACCCCCCCAGCTCTCCCAGCCTGGCTTTTCCTGAGCTGGGTTCTCAGTGGCCACCTGTGTTCCAGGGAAGGAAGGAAATCCAGCACAGCCAGGTCCCTGCAGGGTCAGGAGAGCAGGGAATGGTTGTCTCAGAAAAACCCCCAGAGGAAGCCTGGACAACTGAGGTGCCAAACTCTGTGTGACTGTGCCTGGGTCTGACCTCTGGGGGGTTAATTCTTGCTTGAGTCACGTTTAGCCTGACTTCTGGTTTAATAACATCAGACACTTTGAACTTCTCTATTCTCCAGCTTTGCTGGGGACAATAATTGGTTGTCATGAAACCAAATTACAGCTCATGAAAAGTAAAGGTGAAAATGAAAACTGATGATATTAAAACCAATCTCGTATTTCAGGCAGCCCCTGGAACCCGAGCAAGTGTTTTTCTCACAAGTTTTCATTTGTTGTTGCCTTTGGCTCAGGCTTGTTGGTGTATCCAAGGATCCCTTAAATAATTCCTGTGTAGGATCACAGGACGGTTTGGGTTGGAAGGGACCTTAAGGATCATCTCATTCCAGCCCAGTTTAGTCCAAAGCTGCTTCACAAATGAGCTTCTCTGACAACATGAGGTGTTTTAAAGTTTGGAATCCTCCCTCTGCACTCGTGTTTTCTGTCCCTGGGTATTGGCTGTGCCCTGTGTCCGTGGCTGTCACCAGTTCTGTACTAGAACATCTTAAAATCCTGAAGAAAATGGGACTAAGGAGTGCCTGGACACCTCTGACAACGTTGTTTGTCCCAGCACAGGACCCCTTGATCCCCCCCAAAGCACCATCTGCTCCCCCCTGATTGAATGAGACCCCCAAGGGTCGATTTTCACAACTGGAATTTCCATCTATGCAATATTTGGTGGGAATTGGAGATGGGATTAAATACACTCTTTAATTCCACGGTGCAACCTCTTTTTCCTGATCATTTCAAGCTAAAAAAAAAGAAAAAAAAAACATTTCTCCTGACCTGTGATCTTTTCTTGCAGCAATTACCTCAGTGACCTTTTCCTGGGGTTTAAAGATTGAAAACAATAAGGGTTTCTCAGTCTTTGCAGCTTGTAATTTCTATTTGGGATTCAGAGAGTGCCAGTAATGAACTGTGATTTATTTGCTGAGCAGTTACAGTGAGCCAGTGATGTCTTAGAGTGATTTTCTTGACCCACAGTCAGCCTCCTGCCTCTCTAAACGAGCTCATTGGGATGTTGTGCAGCTCCCCTGACAGGGAGGAGGCATTTCCAGACCCAATTCCAGTCAAATGGGATGTGTTTTAAAAAAAATTCGATATATGAGTCAAGACTGAAATTGAGGGAACCTAATTCTTGTCAAGTTCTGTTTGGGTGGAATCAAAAGCATTAATTGCAGAGGGAAATGTCCAGTTGGGAGTGGAGTTTGTGGTCCAGGTCTTTGTATATCACTGGTTGCTTTGTGGTGCAAATAATAAGAATTATTTGCAGGAAATTAAGGAGCATCTTCTGGTCTGTGGAGGAAGCTGCCAAAATAAAGTTCTCTTCTTTTTCTCAGTCATATTTGTCACAAAAAAGTACCGTTGGGAACTTGTTGTGTTCACTTCTGGGTTTTTTCCTCACTCAAAATCCTTGCACTGTCCAGGGCTTTTGTCTCGTGCTGTTGGATGGGATTCAACTTCAGTGACAAAAGTGAGAGGAAAGGGAGCTGAGAGGGGAAAAGCAGAGGGTGGTTGTGTGTTGGTCAGAGGGGTTTGGTGCCACAGACACTGTGGGTCTGTGGGGATGAGCAGAGCATGGAGCAGCTCTGCTGGGAGGAAAGGCTGGGAATAGTGGGAATGTTCAACCTGGAGAGGAGATGCCTCAGAGTGACCTGATTGTGACCTGGAGGGGCTACAAGAAACATGGAGGGAGACTTTCCAAGGGATGGAGGGACAGGACACAGGGAATGGCTTCCCACTGCCAGAGGGCAGGGACAGATGGGA